AAGTCTACTTATGAGTATGGAACAATATTGCTCGTGGTCCAAAGAAGGGCGAGAACGATTAAAATTTATTGCATACAAGATTGAGATGCAATAGATTGGAGGGTAGAGATTAAAATGTTCCTTAAAAAACCTAATATAGGAAATAGTAAAAAAATGAAGTTGCGTTTACTAAACTATACACTGATAGATGAAAAGTTGTTTAAGAAACGCTCTGATGGTATATTGCTAAAATGTGTAACTTTGCAAGAAGACAGGACGATCATGGCTGAAGTGCACGAAGAGATATGTGGAGCTCATCAAGTTGACCAAAGGATGAGATGGTTAATCATTAGGAATGGATATTTTTGGCCCAAGATGGGAGAATCATGCGTTCAGTATGCAAAGAGTTGTATAGCATGCCAAAAGCATGGTCCAATACAAAGGGCACCAGTACGAGAGATGGCAACTATTATCAAGCATTGACCGTTTAAAGGTTGGGCGATAGACCTGATAGGGAAGATTTATCCCCCATCGTCCAAGCAACATACCTTTGTTATAGTTGCAACTGATTATTTCACTAAGTGGGTAGAAGCGATACCTTTAAAGGAGATCACCCAAAAAAATGTCATAGAATTTATCTGTGATCATATTATTTATAGATTTGGAATTTCACAAACTTTGATGGTAGATCACGGAACTTCGTTAAATGAAGATCAAGTGAATAAATTCTTGAGTGAATTTGGAATTAAATTAGTAAACTCCACACTATATTACGCTCAATCCAATGGACAAACAGAATCTTCTAATAAGATTTTAAAAAATATCATAAGGAAAATGATAGATGAAAATGCCAAAAATTGGCACAAATGTCTAAACAAGGCCTTACGGGCTTATAGGACGTCGCCTCGGTCAAGTACCAAAATTACTCATTTCCAACTTACTTATGGACAGGAGGTCGTTTTGCCTATGGAAATCAACGTGCAATCGATCAAAGTGTGTTTGCAACATAAGTTAAGTGATGATGAGTATACCGAGTCACTAGTTCAAAACTTGTTGGAGTTGGACGAATTAAAGTTGGACGTCCTAGATAGATTGCAAGTTCAAAAACGAAGGATGGCTAAGTTTTATAATAAAAAAGTTATAGCCAAGTCGTTCAGCCTGGACGAATTGGTTTAGAAAACAATACTCCCTTTGGATAGCAAAGATCAAAAGTATGGCAAGTGATCGCCCAATTGGAAAGGACCATACAAAGTAAATAGTGTGTTGCCTAATGGAGCCTATCATTTGGAAGATTTAGATGGCACCAAGCACATGAGGTTCATTAATGGCAAATATTTGAAAAAAATAAGTTCCTTCCTTATGGAAAAGTGAACAAATAAAAGTGTAATCAAATCACATTGAACGATAGTAGATAAAAAAGGGCCAGAGCGAAATACGTTCAAATAAATTCTTTTATTATCAAACGTTCATTACAAAGTTGCAAGATACAAAATACTAAATGCTCTATAAGCTATAATTAAGAGTGAAATAATCTCCCGGTCGACCGTCAAGTAAGAGGGTGAACTGGCCTTGATTGTCATCCTGATCGCACTGCTACAAAGGCAAGCAGAGAGATCGAGAAGCACTCTCAACAAGCAGAAGGGAAGAGAAGCATCCTCACCTCGCTTACCTAAATGCATCGCTGCAATAACGGACAAGGAGACTAAGAAGCACTCTCAGCAAGTAAGGTGTGCTTGACAAGCATCCTCAAAAATTGCCTTCCATCATTGAACTCCTTGTAAAGAATATGAAGACGACGGGAAGAACTTTGCTGGCCAAAGAATATTTTCTATATCTCTCATACCAAAGGTGACATCAAAACAAGTGGTAAAATGGGTGGATCAAATGATCCATTTCTATGGAAGACGAAAATTTTTGATCGATCATTGAGATGCCAAACGATGGCAGCAAATTAGTTTTGAAGAAAATAATGGAAATGAAAATGAAAAGTACGAAATATACGTGCATTTATAGGGGCGTGAAGGTGAAAAGATGGAATATGAATAGCCACATTCGTGCCTAGTGATTGGAGTCAAAGGGCCCAAAGTCTTGGAAAAAGAGATAGAAATACCAAAAGAGAATGTACATGAATCTTATCATAAAGCAGTTAAATGCTTGGGGGATTGACAATTAAGGACCAACGTCAATAAATACACAAGAAGACAAATTAGTTGTTCATTAATGACAATGGCTGCTGTTACATCCAAAATTGGCAATAGCTATTAGTACGAGGTTACAAGAGGAAAGTTAATACGAAATTACAAAAAGAAAAGTTAAGTCATTAGATGTCTTAATTACAATTCGTCCCAGACCGAACGAATTCTTTCCCTAAGTCTCCCCAATCTTCGCTCTGCTGAGAAGAAGTGACATTCAATTCAGCTACAAAATCATCATCAACCTCCAGCTTCTTGTACTGCTCGACCAAAGACTTGGTTCGCTCAATTCTTTGGGAAGCATTACGCTTTTTAGCAACCATTCTCGCCTTGCAGTCATCCATCCTTACTTGAAGCTCTTTCATCTGTGCAGCCAAACTGGTCATCAAAGAGTTTTCAATCATAACTTCGGAAGATATTTCTTTTAATTCGTCCTCAACTTTGTTGATCTCCCAAAGCAAAGACTCTATCTCAGATTCAGCACGAAGATATTGAGTATTCTTCGCCTTCAGTTCAACATTTTTGGCGAACAAAGAGAGGATGTCAGAGTGGACAACTTTCAACATCGCTTTAAAATCAGCAGAAATGTTGAGCGACGGAAGTGTCAGTGCTTGCGCCAACTTCGCACTCGAATGCTCAAGTTTATCCTTATGTTTGGCAGCACTAGCCTGACCGATGTTCATGTCCATAAAGGATACATACTCAAATATCGACTGTTTGAGGAACTTCATATCTTCCTCTGATGAAGTAGAAGGACGACCGGTTGAAGCAGGGCGAGACGTCTTGACTTGCCCCCAGGAAACGAACGAGTCCTGGATGGAATGCACAATCTCATCAGCATCCTGCAAAGAAAAATGTCAATATTGAAGGTTTTCACTATAATAAACAAAGTGAAAATAAAAGTGATGCAAAAGGTTAACTCATCAGCAATCTTGGGAGGTGGCTTATCACCAGTTGGCTCCACCACCTGTGGCCTCACCACTTGTAGAGACTACCCCTTGTCAGGGCGAGAAGACTCTGCCACAACGGGCAAACCCATGGGAGCCTCTGCATGATTAAAGAAGCAGCAAATCAGAAATCAATAGAACAAGCAAAGGTAAAACATCAAAAAATGTATTACTTTCTGGTTCGACGTTCAGGAGGTCGACGCCCTGGGAAGGAGGTGGCTCATCCATTGGTTGTGATGAAGGTTCCAGGACTGAAGGTTTCTCTTTAAACGTAGTCCCTTCATCAGCTGGTTTGGACGAAACAGCTTCAGCAGAGGATGATGGAGCAGGAGCTGCCAACACCAAAGCCTTCAAAGGAGAGGCTGAATTTTTCTGAAAAATTCAGGAAAAACCATTAGCACATAGAAAGGTATGCTTATGAGTAAACAGAATTCAATTCAATTACCTTTCTCCTGACGATGAGAGGAGTGTCATCATCATCATCCTCTAAAATGGGAGATGCTGAAACTGACCGTTTGCGGCTTGGGGCGCTTTTAGCTGCAGTAGGTTTGACAGGCAGAGAAGTAGAGGGACGAACAGATTGTTTAGCACGAGCAGGGAAAGAAGGACTCCTAATGGACACAGGGGTGACCAAAATAGGAGAAGTGGAAGGAATGTTCGGCTGATCCAGTGAATGGAAAGTACGATTGGCATCAGTTGCAAATAATCTATGCTTCACTGATAGCCAGAGTTGTTCAAAAAGGGGGTGAACGGCACGGCTAGGATTGAAGGGGGCTAATGAAAAGTTACTCGTCAAAAGCATATTGCGAGCATCTATAACTTGTGCCTCTACCCTATTAATGGTGTGAAAGCGGTCTATTAAATTTTTTGAATAACAAGGGGGAACAGGTCAAATTTGGCCAAAGCCAAATTGGCGAGCAAAAAATTGGGAAGCATATATTTCAACCCCATCTTTGGCATTGGTTCCAATTAAAATATCATGGAACAAATCCCTCCCAGTCAAAAACTGAACACAAACGAGCAGAGAGGCGCTCGCACTGTCCAAGGTGGATGGAGGTTGTACATAATTAGGAGTTAAATGAGCAGGAAAGGGAAAGAAGGAAGGAATTGAATTTAAAGTATAAAAGAATGAAAAAATGTCCCTTCTGAACATATTTACAGGACTCAATGGGTCAATGACTAGCCCATAACAGCTAGCAGGACGAAGGGACATGGATAGAGCACCAAGTGATGAAAAATAGGTTCTCAACCACAGTTGAGTGAACCAAAAAGGCCCACTGCCAGTGGGAGATGCAACATTCTTCAATTGAAATTGAAGACAAGTCATGCCTCTATAGAGGGCATCCAAAAAGAAGAAGCACAAATTCAAAAGCCTACCACGCGCCAATTCGTGCACTATGGGTAAATAGCTCACAGAAGGCTTCAAACTGGGCACACACAGAATATATTTACAAAGCCAAATCTGAAGAAAGGCCACACGCTCAGCGTGGGAAGGCTCAACGTTTGAGTGATTATAACAGCTTTGTAAACTTGAATAGGACTCGGTGAGTTTTTTGTCAAATTTTGGGGCAACACCGAAAATCAAAATACTAGAGAAAATGGTGTCGCCCTAAGGTGAAAGATTTATCAGGGCCCCAACATCCCTTAAAGTAATTGACATGAGACCAAGAGGGAAAACAAAAGTATTATATTCAGAAAACCAAAAACTTAAAGCAATAAGGAAAAGTGCTGGGTCAAAAATTGGGGGTTGAAGAGAGATTTCTAATAAATCAGAAATCCTAGTATGATCAAAAATCGCCTTGGTAGGACCATGGCCCACAAGGCAAGCATGCCATCTATGAAAAACAACATCAGATTTAGGCCAAGTGCGAATACCTTTTTCGCGAATCGACCTCAGAGGCAAAGAGTTCAGGAATGGAGGGCCTTGAGTACAAGGGAACAGTTGGCCTATCGCCACTTGTTCGATAGTTTCGGCGTTATTGAATGAAGGTCCCAAATTGAACTCATTAAGTTCGGCATCGGCTGATGCAAGGAAGTTCGAATTTACATATGGCCGAGTGAGGATTTTCTGGAAATTTTCGAAGTTAAAAGAATCGTCAGATTGGGTTTGTGGAGCAGCCATTAGGGACGAAATACAGTTTTGTTAGAGTTTGCTTAAAAAACATAGCAGAGAAGCAAGAAGATGAACAGTGGTATTGCGAGAAGGAAGCGCGAAATAATGAGGCGTGATTTAGTGGTACAACGAAATGGCGTGTCCTTGGGGTTTATAACGGTTTGTAGCGTCGCACTTTTTCAGGTTATGGAAGGAAATAATGATTAAAATTCTTGGGAATTTCAAATGTTGCTGGGAAACGCAAAGTAAATATGGCAAAGATTAATAATTAGTATTAATTCTGCTATATTGGGGGGTAATTGTTGGCACACTAAAAGTGCAGCCCAAATCAAATAGTCCAAGGAATGAAGCCCAATTAGGAAATCCCCGAATCAAATAATCCAAACAATGAAGCCCAACTGGGAAAGTCAGGATAAAGGCCCAAATAGGATTACTAATGAATGCAGTGGAAGCCCACGAACACGGTAACATCATCGCCCAAGCTTGCATGACGCCCAAGATCTGAGCGAATGAAGTGTCTTACAGTCGCCCAGAGTTATGACCCTATTCTCGCCCAAACCTTCGAATCGCCTAGGATCTTAGCAAATATAAGATGTTATGGTTATCCAGAAGTGCGGTTATTGAAGCAGTTATCAAGTAACCTTATCACGTTTCATGATTCAAGGAGTTCAGTTGAAGACGGTTGAACGACAAAGAGTAATGGTAGCAGTTAAAGACGGCAGTTCCACGACACGATAGCCACCATAAAGAAAGTGGGTAGTTATAAAGCAATCAAGAAGTTTCTAAGCTGTTGATCACGAAAAAATCATCAAGGGAATATAAAAGGAAGAGAAGACATAGAGCAGAGGACCCCGAATCAAACACTCTCAAACAGAGAATATGTAATTTCAATTTCTTAGTTTAGACTTAAAATATTTCTTTTCAGTACTCGTGTGCTTGCGCCCTTTGGAGGCATTCTGTTTAGTTCCAATTGTAAAGTCATCGCCAATAAAACACCCCTTTTTGAGACTTTGTTTCAAGAGGTTTGTTCCTTACACAATCGTCTGATCCATTTTTAATTGTTAGCGACTACCCGCGCGAAACACAAACTTTTTTTAGTACGAGTTTTGTGTTGAGTCAATGGACCGACTTGATTTACCGTGATTGAAAGTACTTTGAATTGTCAACTTAGTATCTATGATACAAGACGTGAAATCTTAGTTAAGTGCTAACAATTCAAATGACAATTAGCATGTTATCTTCTGATTTTATCGATATTATTGGCTACATGTACGAGATCGAAAGGATTATTTGTCTAGTAGGTTGATAAAGTTACAAACAAAAGTCCTTTAGTTGGTTAGATGAGTGACGAGTGACTCTTTATGTGGATGAGGAGGAATTATAGAATATTAGATTTCTGTGCATATGATGTTCCTAAGTTAGTCGTAGATAGTCAAGGTCGATGTCTATTGGATAAGTAAGAAGGTTCTTGTAATAGTGAATATTATGAAATGAAGGGCCAACTTCATCAAAAAGAATAACTCAAACTTTTATATGTAGTTTTGTTCTCTTGGGACATTCATTTAAAAGAAGAGAATGCTCTCATGTTTTTAAGTTACGATACCATAATAAATCCCAGGGTCATATAAATGAAAAGTCAATTTTACATACTCCGATTTGCGAATTTGTTGAAGTCCTCCTTGATGGCCGAAACATGTACCCCAAGAAAGCATAATGAAAGGTGCTAGTCGAGAGCCCGGCTAGTTAGGTAATAGATAGTATCGACATAATTTCAACAATGTAGCAAAGATAATAATAACTTAGTGAACGAATATCTATTGATACATAACTATTGATCAATCTCCCAAATTGATCCCGCTATAATTTTTTTCTTTTCAAGTCGAAAAATCTAAGAATCATTGAAAAAATGAACTACAGATAAATTGTTAAAATTTCTATTTTAATTAATGCAATCATTTATCATTCCCTCCACTTAAAACACACACACAGAGAGAAAAAGAGAGAATGAATTAGCAATTGTTACAAATTTTAGGTAATTAATAAATTCAGATTTAATTTCTGGGTGCGTGGATTGGGTCCCAAATTAGATGACAAAGATTAATGGGCCCCGCCGTGCTTCATTAATTACTTGCATTTAAAGTGTCATTTACTATCATTAATGAGGAGATTATATAACGAAATGACATGACAACCAGGTGGCTTTAACAGTCTAATGTCGGAGCCGAAAGTTCGTAGAACAACTTTTTTTACTTATGCCTTTTCTTTATAAAAAAGTCGGTTTAACCTTTGCATAAATAAGCACTAATATTCTTAAATAATTTTTAGTATTCTAAGTTCTTAATATTTCAATTTGCTTCTCGTTGATGAATTCTATTTTTAAACCCGTTAAATGATTTTATGAGAAATACAATTCACGTACAAATCAAAAAATTATGTTCAATGTTTTGCAATCTTCCAATATGTTATATTTTCCAAAAAAAAATACGTAATTATCATAATTTCAATATACACTTTCAAATTTAAGAAATTTGTGGAATTCTTTCAAATATCATGTGGTCACATATGTGATCATCTGATAAATTTTTTGTGATCCATTTATTAATTAAATTTGTTACAGTCACAATGACATATAATTTATGATCATAATTACTTATTAATCACTAATCATACGACATCTCAGTCACAAGAACACAAAAAATGGGTCATAATTATAAATTCAGTCATAAATCACACTTTTTTTTATAGATCACAATTTATTCATTGATCACAAATTATCAGTTTATTACAACTATCCAATTATCTAATCACAAATTACTGTTCATTTCCCCACCCCACTGCATCCAACTTCACCATCGTTGACGCCACTCAAATTGTCACGACCACAACTTGTAATGCATTGCTATCGTCACCTTCAATGTGCCACCACCTATACATCAATCTATAACAACCATCGGATAATAATCTTATGGTTTTTTATGGCATTTTTCTGCCAAATTGAATGTCGTTGGAGTCAAAACTGAAGGTTTATTGATGGCATGATTCCCTAGGAACCCCAATAGCTCATTTAACAATGTTGTTCCATGGAAGTGATTGACTCAAGGAGATGAGATGGTTGGTGAGAGGGCATAATGGTGTGGCCCATCAATTGGGGGATGGCACTAGGGTTTTCGCCTAGGATCCATGGGGTCTGTTTGAGAGAGCAAGTTCGTGACCATTAAAGATTGTGAGTGGTAAATGAGGGAACTTGGGATGCATGTTCGCTCGTCTTGACCATTTGTTCTTTCTTGCATATTAAATAGAGTAAGTGCTTGATGGATAATAGAAGATATTTTATGGCATGGGCATGTTGGGGTAGGGTTGCAAGGGAAGGGTGTTGTGACGCATGTGCAACTGTTTAGAAAGAGTGGTGTGGGTATAATTTAATTTAAAAAAAAAATTAGTACCTGATTTATAAAATTGGAAGTTAAATTGTAGGATTTGAGATAATTTTTCTCTATAATTTCACTTGTTTTTCAATTCAGGCCCATGAAAATTTTCCATAATTTGTTTTGTCAGATTTTCACGGGCCATGTAATAGACCGCTCGTGGCCTATTGGACATGTAGTCCGGGCTTAGTGCAATAACAAAAATATAAAAAACAATGCATTTGCGGTGAACGTGGATCGAACACGTGACCTTCAGATCTTCAGTCTGACGCTCTCCCAACTGAGCTATCCCCGCTGGTGAGCCTTAGACTTTATTTATTTAATATTTCTTTCTTTCAAACGACACACAGGTGCATGGAAAAACTGGTGAAAGAACTAGGAATGAAGGTTGCAGTCCTAAAGTCCTCAAAATTGCAAGTTTGAGAATGCCATTAATATTTAACGAAATCTCTTCTCTATATTATCATATAGAAAGAAACTACACTAGATGGGCTTAATAAAAAAATATCTAGACAATTATCAAAATAGAGTCATATCACGTAAGCAGACGAGCTAATCTAAAGAGTTAAAAAGGTTGTTCGTCCTCCTGAATGTGAGAAGGAAAGATACATTCAAAGAGATGACCAGATCACCATTTGAACTATCAAAATATTTTACTTGTTTTCCTTAAAATATATTATTTATTAATTTAGTTAAAAAAAAAAAAAAAAAAAACTATGTGCGGAGGTTCTAATTCTAACAAGTGGGACGACACTTTCAATCAATCAAAAAAATTATTAATTAAAGTGAACTAAGATTATCAGCTTAGATAGTTCCCATACTTTAAATTTGACTTCAATAGTCCCTTAATTTTGTGTCATGTACTCCATTAGTCCCAAAAATGAATTATGTCAAAAATTACTAATTAATAATTCATTTTCTCAATCTCATTATCAATTACACGTTTTTCAATAAAATAATATCACACAAACATAAAAACTTTTCCTTCTTTTTTAGCTATACATTTTCCAAAAAATTACTATTCATCTCATTATAATATGGAATAAATGGGCGAAACGGGTTGTTTGTTTCCCATTATTTTAAAAATACATTTTTTCTATTTTCTTTTCAATCACACATTTTTCAATAAAATAATATTATACATAAACTCAAAACATTTTTTTTTATCTTTTAATCACATATTCTCCATTAATCCACTATTTCAAAATGCATTATTACAATAAAAAAAAATGAGGCTCAAACAAGCTCAAATGTCAATGTAATATAAGATGAGATGTCACATTATCGATAGGTTTTCCAGGCAGGACGTTTGTAAGTAATTATGGGCAGAAATCATTTTTGGAATAACGAGATCATGGTTTAAAGTTAAGGGACTATTGAATTCCAATTTAAAATTTAAAAGTTATCTTTCGCAAGAAGTTAATAGTTTGGGGACCTTTCAAGCTTTTCTTAACCATTTTAACCAGTATTATTTATGTCAGGAAAATGTGAAATTCTTATATTGTTATATAAAAATTTCATATAATTATTTGTACATTGCTTAGCAACTTCTATTTATTTTTACAATTGAGTGTGTGGCCTCAA